CCATGTGTGGAGTGTGTGGGGGTGAAGCATGCATACCATTAGGGGTGCACATGGGTCAGTCCCCACAGTCAAGGTGTCCCAGAAGCTCAAGGATGGACTTCATGATGAGGTATGCAAAGCAGTTAGTAGGATATGCATCCTTTTGATAATTTCCTTTCTGAGCCCTGACTTCTGTTCTCCCAGCTGTTCACTGTCCTGCAGTCTTATAGCTCACAATTCAGTATTCTGTAAGCAGGAAGAAAGAAATGGGTCTCCTATTTCCCAAAGCTGGGGAATACAGGAGCTCAGTCACACACTCCACTTTCCCTAAGGGGAGAAATCATGGGCTGAGAAAGGTCTCTCTTGGCACTGAGCAGGGCCACTTTGGGGAACGGGTGATGGGGACAAAGTGAAAATGTTCCTCTTATTATCTTCAGTGCATCCAATCTTAGAATTTTTTTTTCTCCAATACTGTGCTGAAACGTCTCTTCTGGATTCATGGACTTCCACAAAGGTCGTCTTTTCTGTGGGTAATCATCAGAATCGTTTTTCTTCTGGGGATGATGGTAGAAAACTCTTATTTCTCCATGTTGATGATGTCATATCTGCATTAACTCATGAGGCTCTGCATTACATTAGGAGAGAAATCTGTGACCTTTAGGTGCTAGGTACTACTTCAAAATGAGAATTACTAAATGACTAAATATATAAATATAAAAATAAAACATAAAAGAAAATACAAGGGAAGATTTAGATGTTCTTTTAAGGAGAAGAACCTTTCTAAATAAAGGCAAAAAGAATTAAGGAACTATCCAAAGATTTCAGTGTATAAAAAGTTTAATATTGAGATAAAATACTGTGAACAACTTTTTTAATTTACTGTTGGAAAAACTGCAAAATATGGCCCTTTTTTTAAAATTTCATAAATTAAACTATTATAAATCATAAGAAGAACATGAAAACTACAGTAAAAATGCACATGTAATATCCATAGATAGTTTATAAAAGAAGAAATACAAATAGACAAGAAATGTGAAAACTTCAGTCTTATTATATGAAAAAAAGCATCAAATTAAACCAAAAATAAAATGTAATTGCCGTCTATCAAATTGGCAGTTGTTCTTAGTTTCTCTCCTCTTCTGTGTGTTTTTTTTTTCCTACTTCTTTATCCCTACTCCCCTTGTGAAGCACTTTGTTCCTGTGTGATTTATTTCATTCCTTTTATCAACTGCCACCATCAAAGATTATTCCCTGGGCAGACTCTAATCTCAAAATAAGGAAATGTGATTCCTTTTTACATCTTGTGCTTCCTCTTACTCTCTTTTATTTTAGAACAATAAAAGATGCTTTTGTTTCAATCCCAGGTGAAAGGTGAAATTTTGGTGGACTTGGCTATTTTGCCAAAGACCCAAACACATTGTTATGTTAACATCCAATCTTTCCAGGGGCAGTTGGGCAATCAGGGCAGATTGGAATGACCTGGATCAGAGTCTTAAGAGGAGAGCCAGAGAGTGAGAAATCTAGGAGAGACAGGCTGTGGCAGTGGATTTGGAGAAGGTAGATGAGGAAGGGAAAAAAAAGAAGGAGAGGAGACAGTTGCACCCCAGCATCCTAGCATAGAGGGCCTTTGGCAGAAAACAGAAACCTGGGGCCTGCAGGAACTCCCTCAGTAACTACTGTTTATGTTCCTAGTCTTCGTGGTGCCAAGTGCCAGATGGCATGTATCACGATTAAGAGCTTTGAGGAAGGTACTGGACCTATCTAAGAAGGGGGTTGGCATGCTGTTCCTGTCTTCTTTGGCTATTTAACGGGGTATGTCGAATCAGTACAAATTGAGTGGGCACTAATGGTCAAAACCACCTGATAATACCTTTTGTTCTAATTAAGTACGAAAAATCCCAGCATAAAGACCAGATTTAAGTGAAGTGCCTCAGAATGAGGGACATTGTAGTAGTTGTTGTTTTTACACATTACAAGTCATTTATTAATTATTCTTCTAAATAAATATAATGCCCCATTGAGAACAGTTGTTGAACAGAATATGTGATAGCATCCTAATTAAATAACAAAATGCTTATTACTGATTTATAGCAGTCATAAAATACTTTGTCATAAGTCTTGCTAATCCATCTGCCTTCCTATTTAAATAAACTGCCTGGATCTCAGTAGTGAAGTGTATTCCCTTCCTCACCCTCCACAGAAGAGCTGAATTTTAAGTTATAGGATAATAATTGCTCTTTGTAAAGAATTCTGGCAAATTCTCCCAGCAGAGTAGCCACACAGCAGAGACCTAGAGCACACTTCTAGGGACAAGAATCTTGTGAATGTGTCTTTTTTCCCACGTGTAGTTGCCAAGTTTGCACTGAACAAGGACCAAGGCTTTTCTAGGAGTGGGTCTGGACCATCTCTCCTTTCCTGATAGGACTTGCAGTTTTGACTGTGCTGGGTCAAGTGTATAAAAGATTACTTATCAGAAAGGGCATCAAGAGAGCTCATTTTTCTTTGTTTCATTTTCCTTTTTGATAACCCAGTCTCTCGAGCTGGATGTATGGGGAGTGTGGTGGGGGCTTTGCTTTGGGTGTGGCAGTGGGAGAGAGTCAGACTCTGAGCCTGGCCTTGGTACAAGCTTATTCTTTCTTCTCTGCCCAGAAAGCCCACTCTGCTTACTGCACCCTGCACACCTCCTGCTGATGCCTCTTATCGGAAGATTGTTTTCCTCTCTCATTTTCATTTTTCTTCACCATAAGAATCATCACTTTGCTCTGCCCTATGCTCTGTGTCCTTCATACCCTGCCTACCATGTCTTTGCCTTGCTGTATAACATAATGGGCCCATTCCCCTGTTATCTCTGTCAAGTAGGAGCCACAGGATGCCGTGGAAGAGAATGATGCTTACAGCCAGACCAACCAGCAGCCCCGCCTCATCACAGTTTTGATGTGAGACTTCGGGCAAATTACTTAAACTCTCTGTGTCCTAGTTTCTTTAATAAGAAATGAGAAATAGAAGTATATACTTTGCAGTGAAAACTATGTAAAGACCTAGTGTAGTGTTTGGTACAGGTTGGGATTACATCTGTGCCATTTACATTATTTTAAGATCCTTGGGTAGTTGAAGATTGCTTTTAACTTATATGTTAGCAGCGTGGATACAGCTGTAACTCTGAAATATGGTGTGTCCAAAAACAAGTAATCTAGCTTTGCTGCTTTCCAATTATGTGATTGGAGGAAATTCCTTACTTCACTCAGTCTTAATTTTATCATCTAAAATTTAGCAAAATAGGAGTAAATATTCCACAGGGTTGTGTGAAGATTAAATGTGACAGTGTATTAAGGTAATTAACAAAGACCTTCCCCCAATAAATATTCAACAAATATTAAGAACTGCTCTTCAGGAAATACAGTGAGATCAAGCCCGGAGTAGTTGTTTCTATAAATGGGATTGGCCGCCCTCCCCAGAGTTTACTATCTCCTAGGTAAGATGTCAGGGTCGGGGTGGGGGAGGTAGAGGTCTTCAGGGAGTCTCTGGGCCATGGCCCTCATGTACCAAAGTAGAAACTGAAGCTTAGGAGCTTTGGGGCCTGGGCCAGGCCACACAGGGAGCTAATGGCCAAGCCTACTGGAGTCCTGGCTGTTTCCACAGTTCCCCAGGGTCTGACCTCTCTGCCACCTCTCATTTCTGTGCCTTTTGACCTACAGGAGTGCACAGCAAGGCCTCTGACAAATAAACAGTGGCCTAGAGATTAAACTGCACCTGAAGCTGGTTATGCAGGTTCACTTAACATTTGAACCAAGGGCGGAAACTCAGCTCTACCCGGACTGCAGAGGGATTAACCCATTCTCAGACTCAGCCTGTGAATTATTGCCCACTTAGGAAGTACAAAAAGGGAGGGAAGAACTAAATCTCATTAAAAGAAACACAAACCTGTATGCATTTTTGAAACAGGAGAAGAAAAAAAAAAAGAAAGAAACAATCAGAAATAAATTAAATATATTTGGATGTGTGGAAAAACTTCCAGATAGACTTTCTTTCTCTCATACATCAGGGACCAGAAGAGAATGAATATGATGTAATACAGTGGAAAGTGTTACTTTCTGTGAGAAATCTTGCCTTGGGGGCTGTCTTAGAATTCTGCCCACAGCCACCATTGTTTCAAACATCTTAATCCTTTCAGCCAAATTGGACTTCTTTCTGTGCCCTAGGCAAGATAACGTTACTTCTACCTCAGGGCCTTTGCACTTGCTATTCTTTCTGTTTGGATAAAGATTTTGCTTAGAAGTTGCATCCATAAAGAGGCCTTTCTGACCATTGTAGTTAGAGAGTTCCCCTCTGCCTTTTTGTGGAAAGCCCCTCTTAACTCTGTCTGCCACTTATTGCCACTTAAATATCACTCACTTACTTAATAGTTTATGTGTTTATTGTCTTTCAATGTGCCCTTCCCCCAATATAGGCTCCTTAAGAGAAGAGACTTGTTTTATTTCTTGTTTTATCCCCAAGGCCAGTATCAGTCCTGTCAAGTAATTGGCATTTGAAAAGTTCTGACCAAGCACATGCATGAATTCATGTTTTGTGGAAAGCAAGAAGATAGAAGTGTAGAAATGAGTCATGAGGGAGGAGGAGGATGCAGTGCTTAGCTAGAGCTAAAGTCCTCTAATAAATGGTTAAGGCTTTGAACACAATCCTAAGATCAGTGGGACTCTCTTGGAAGGACAATGAAGGTGTTGGAGAATGTAAGTTCATGGGAGAGTTCCAGCTCCAGGTGATCCTGTAACAAAACCCCTCCCCACATGTTTAGGGAACATTGATCTTTGAGCACAACACTTAGGAGCCAGCTGACCTGACATACCTCCCACTACCCTCTCTGCTCTGATTCCCCTTCCCTTGGAGTTATGGGAAAAAACCTGCCTCCCTTCTTTATCTTGTCCAAAGGAACGATAAGTAAAAATGTAATCTTAAGTATGTAGACGCTGGCTCAAAGAAGAAACCTGTACTCGCAATAACAATCATTCAATGTTATTTTCCAGACACCTTTACAGAACCAGCAAAGCAAGTATGCAGCTATTAGAATCACCTTCTTTGCTATCAAGTCTCAGGATGTACCTCCCTCCAAACCTTGAGCTAGACCAACCCAGTGGATGTGAATGTAAGTTTTCAAATCTGCAGTCCATTAATCCCTTCCTTTGGTACAATATTATTTTAAAAAAATCCCTGGGGGTTTGTTGTGAAGAAAAAGAATGCCCCATGTGACACATAATGAGTACATGTGTGTAATAAACTTTGGGGTTTAACCTCCCTTGGAGATTGCATTTCTTGCTATATCAGCTGTTTTAACACATTTTCTTCTTAGTTATTTGGATTTTAATTGTATTTATGTCTAGACATTAGCATATGATATTAGGTTCCAAATTTTACATAAAACTTTTTTGTGCCATTTATTGTGAGATGCTGTTTTTTCCTCATTTCCTGTTAACTTTCCCTGTAATCGTATGGAACTTTTATTGATGGAGGGGATGTATTAAGGTACTTTTAGCATTCTGAGCCTAGGAGACCCTTACTTAGGCAATATCATACTCTGGCAGATGGCATGGTTTTTTATGTATAGATGTATATATATACAGATATAGATATATAGATATGTGTGTATTATATATATATATATATATATATATATATATATATATCAATGATGCCTTTTATTTACGTTCAATAGATGAATAACCTCAGCTGTAAATATTTTCATTCATAGAATTACTCCTGTGATACAGCAGACATGTGATCTTGTGGTGAAATCTGAGCTGACTGAGCCCAGATCAAAGTAAATGAAAGTGGTACCTGTTAGGAGTTTTAATGGTCAACCAGAAATTTCCTCTCTAGTTACTTCCTAGTAAACTGAGATTTTGCTGATGTGAAATGACAGGAATTACAGAGTTTGGCCTGACTTACCCGATTTTGCTAAGAGAACCTAAGTCCCCTGGGCTTGAGACCAAAGTTCGTAGTTAATTTTTTGCCCACGCCCGTGGGAGTCACACAAGTTGTCATAAAACTGGCTACTGGCATCCTTATCCTTTGAGGATATTTGTTTCACTAGAAAGACCGAGGAAGAAGCTACTATTACAACTTTGTTGATCTCCCTTCAGAGGAGGGAAAATTGAGCCTTGGGGTGAAAAGGAGAAGGTTCCGAAAGCATATCTGATGTGTCTGTGATAATTATGTTTACATGGGTAAGAGGTGTCAGAGCGGCATTACTCATGAGGCTGATTTGAACAAAAGGTTGCAAATCACTTTCAAGATTTTTTTTGGACTTCCCCATATTTTTGGAGGTTGGAGTCAGGATTACTGGCTTTGGTAATTAATCCTTCTCAGCCTGCATTCTTTGCTACTGAGCATAGCAGTGATTCAGGGGCCCAACCTGCTAAATCAAGATAATGCTTGACCTCTGGGAGCAGAAGCCTGTTCCTCACTTAGCCAGAGAAACTAAACCCGGGCACACAACTGGTAACATCAAGACAGTTCCTATTTGAAGAGCTGTAGAGGGAGCTTAGAATATCCATTTGTGGCATGTTGAAGGTATTTTAAGAATACGATATAAAAAATTATAAATTCAAAGGACAAAGTTAGTTGGGGTCCATGTGTGAGCACAAACATGGAGGCCCTTAAAGAGCTGTGATGTTTTCAAGGGATCTGTTAATTTCAAAAAAGTTTATCACAGCTGATCTGTCACGGCTGTTCTGTTTGCCCGCTGATTTGCCTCGTGTTAGTTTCACAACAGCATTGTATTACTGTCACAGCTATGCATACAAGAACTCAATTGTTTGGTTCGACTAGAGCCAAGATGTTTGAAATCATCTTGTCCAAAAGACCATCATTATCTTTGTGCTGCTTTGCAACTGGTTATAATGCCTTTAGACAATTCCTCTGACTCCAGCGAGATTGTGTAGATAAAATGATCACTTTGCTTTTCGTCAAGAAAGGGAAACGGGATCACTTTTTCACTATAAAACCAATGAAGTTTTATAAGAAACTAACACCAGAGTGGCGCCTTTGGGAAGAATTACGACAATAGGGCCGAACTCTCTAGCTTGGGCTCAGCACTTGGCACAGAATAGGTGCTTTAAAAAACATCTGAATGAGTCAACAAAATTAAATGGTGACTTTTCCGTTCTTCTAAAAATAATTTTACTAGTCACACAAACAGTTTAAGCTCAAGATTTTTGAGACTAGAGAGAAGAAACATTTTGATCAAGTGTGCTATTGTATTTTTCCGGCTCCACAAGCAAATATTAAAGCCTTAATATTTCTTTGAGTTTAAAGATCAGTCTGAAATGCGATGAGCCAAGAATAGGAAAAACATCTCCTATTTTGAAAAACAAATGACACAGATATTTTCTCTGTTCACTGCCACCCATGGCTGGCCTCACCGGGCAATCTGAACTTGCTTTTACTGTGGCCCTTATCACTGTCCTATAATTGTGGGATTCCTCTGTCTGTTGCAGTAGATTGCACACTCCTTGAGAGCAAGATTTAAATGTATCACCTGACTTTCTTTTCGTAGGGACCACTTAGTGCCTGGAACACATTAGGAGCTCAAAAACAGAGGACTGAATCAACGATTAAATGGTAGAATTCTGAAAGCTTTTTTGAAGCTACGTATCCCTTTAGCTCTTATTTGTGTGTGAAGTGTGTATGTGTGTGCATATGTCTCATCCAAGATGTCGCTGGCCTCATCTAGTCCTGTTTTTTCCTTATTATGTTTGGTCTAAATTTAATTTTACACTCACACCCACCAGACACATGCCCATCACAGCAGCTACACACACTGTTATTCTCTCTCATTTTTAGACTTTAAAGACAGAAAGAACAATCTCCATATTTCTTTCACTCCCAGTAGCCAGACCTTTCTGTTGTCAGACACCTGAACCCTCTGTCAGGGAAGCTGTAAGCCATCCTCAGATGTTTTGTTTTTTATGATTCAGTTTGAACAGCAGTTGTAAATGTGGAAAGACATTGGCCCGTATCCTCAAATTTTCTGCTCAGACATCCTTTGCATGGCAGCCTCATCTTAGGGCAACTCTCAGAAGCCTCACTTCTGTACCCTGAAGTTCGTAGAGACTCAGAGAAAGTAGGTGAAACTCATGAATCAAAACCAAAGCACAGTTTTCCTTTAGATCAACTTCATGGTCTTTGTTCGGTTTAACATCAGAAGCCCTAGATTCAGAGGGAACGACATGTGAGATGAGGGTACTTCCCTCCATGCCACAGCACAACGTGAACTTTAGAGGAAGGATTTGCAAGTTGTTTAAGGTCTGAAATATGTGTTCCCTGCTTTTCGAGTACACGTGTTTGAGGCTGAGAATCTTATCAGCAGATAAGAGCGGAGAGGCTGCCATCCCACATTCCATGAACTCACTTCCAGATGGTTTGGAGACTAAGGGGTGAAAAACTCAAGCTCTTCAATCAAGCCAAACAGCCCACACCTTTATTGCCCCATTTGTTTAGCGGCCTGTCGTGGGCCTCCTGACATCTCAGAATCAGCCATGGGGGCAGCTGTTTAATTAACTCTTCAAGGCTGCATTTTGGTGGGGGCAATTCATTTATTATGAAAAACAAATTGAAAGCTCCAAGGGTTTTCTGTTCTTTTTTTTTTTCTCTTTAGTGGTTACTGTTATCTGGAGCTCCTGGCTCAGTCCAAATAGAAACGTTGATGGTTTTGTTAAAAAAAGCCACTTGATCTTTTGTGTTGTTCCTTTTTCTTTCTTTTCTTTTTATTTTCCTAAATCAGTCTGGCTATCTGACTTGGACGTGGAGAGATTTCTTTTCCTTGGTGCCGGGAAACAATGGCATTTTTCCGGACTTTTTTGTTTTGTTCTGTTTTAGTTGTAGAAATACCACAATGGCAAGTTGCAACTCAGTTCTTATAAACAGTGACACAATTATATGGTTGCTCTGCGCCAGGTTAACATTTGGTTGAGAATAATTTTTGGCCAACTTGATTCTGATAAGAATTTGAGAACTTCCTGCCGTATACCTCTATGCTAGGTGCTAAGGAACATATAGAAAGAGAAAAGAAGAACCTTGGCCTTGAGAAATAGTCTCACTATTATAGTCCTGCGCTCTGGGAAAATATATAGTCGCATTTTATTATCTTTCTGTTTTTTATATGGAGATAATTTTTGATTTAAAGAAGATTTGCAAAGACATTATAGAATGTTCCCACATTCTCTTCACCCAGCTTCCTCTAATGCTGACATCTTACATAATCATAATATCAAAACAAATAAATTGACATGGACACAATGCCGTTAACTACAGACTTAGAGACTTCACCCAGTTTTTCCACCAATGTCCCTTTTCTGTTCCAGGATCCCACCAGCATCCCTCCACAAATTGGTCTCCTCAAATTTATGAGAATTTCTTAGTGTCTTCTTGTCGTCCATGACCTTGACACACTTGAAGAGTAATGGTCAGTATTTCAGCAAACGTCCCTCTGTTCTGATCCTTTTCGTGCCTATTGAGAATCAGCCTCTTTCAGAATGTCCTCTGGAGACAATGTGCAAAGATTTAGAATCTTACGGAGTTAGAGTAAGAGCCACAGGATCTCCTTATTTTTAAAATGTAGAAAATGAGTTCCAGGGAAGAAAACAAGGATTTGCTCAAAGTGAGACAGTGGACTGAGGTTGGACTCGAAGGAGCCCAAGCCTCCTGACTTCTGAGGCAGTGTTGGACTTCTCCTCTGGTCCTGTTTGGAATCCTGGGGAAACTTAACTGCTGGGGAAGTCTGACCTCCAGGCATGTTCCCATGATGCCCCAAGAGTGGGCTCCACATGCTTCCCTGAGCCCCCAGCGCAGAGCCTTCTCAGCCAGCACTGTTGAGTTGAGTTACGCTCCAGAGAATCAAACTGTTGGAAACGGCTCAAGATGCTTCTCCCACATATGAGCTAAAACTGTATGGAAAGGTGAAAACTGGGAAAGTGCGAGTGAGGTCAAGGGAAAACAAAAAAAAAGCCAGATTCCCTGTAGCAACTTAAGATGCTTATAGCAGAGCCATGGTTGCTGGCAGGAGGCCTAAAGAAGCCCCTCAGTGGTGGGTAATGGTGTAGCAAATGGTCTGCTTCACCCACAGTCCTGCAGGAAGGGACCTGT